CGGAAATATTTCGTCAAAGCCAGCAGCTGTGACGAGGGGAAGGGGAAGGGGGGAGGGGGGGAATGGGGGAAGGGGGAGGGGGATGGGGGGAGGAGAGGGGGTTTAGATGGGGGGAGGAAGAGGGGGTTTAGATGGGGGGGAGGAAGAGGGGGTTAGAAGGAGGGGAGGAGGGGGTTTACAAGGGGGGGAGAGATGGGGGAAGGAGATGGGGATGGGGGGGTTAAAGGAAGGGGGAGCAGAGGGATGGGGTTTACTAGGAAGAGGGGAGGAGAGGGAAGGGGGATGGTGTTAAAAAGGGGGGGAGGAGGGGTTTAGAGGAGGGAGGAAGGAGGTGGGGGGATGGGGTCAAGGAAGAGGGGTGGGGGTGGAGGGAGGGATTAAAGAGAGTAGAAGGAGGGGAAAAGGAGGTGGAGGTTTAGAAGAAAGAGGGGAATGAAGAGAGGTTTAGAGGGTAAGGAGGGAGGGGACTAGAAGTTAAGGGGAAGGAGGGATTTAAAACAAAAGGGAAAAGGGGAGGGAGTAAGCTTTTTAAAGGAAGAGAAGAAGGGGAGGGTTAGAGAAGGAAGAAGAAAATAGAAGGGGGGGGAAGGAATTTCGGAGGGAAAGGGGAAAGGGAGGGGGCCCAGTGGGTAGGGAGAGGAGAGGGGGAAGGGAGGGGAGGAGCAAGGGAGGGAGGGGAGGAGGGGATAAGAGCAAAGGGAGAAGGGAGAGGGGAGAGGAAGGAGGGGGAAGGAGAGGGGAGAGGGAGGGGGAGGAGGGGGACAGAGGGAGGGGATGGGGGGGGGGGGAGAGGATCTTAATGTAAGACGTATCCCTAAAGATTCCCGAGAGGACGCAATTTTGGACCTTCCGCCCCCCGCAGGTAATGGCGACTTTTGCTTGCAGTCTTTCGCCTTTCTTCGCGATGACGTTTTCACACAATATCATGGATATGGACTGTTTTTTTTCTTTTTTTTTCTTTCTTTTTTTTCTTTTTTCTTTTTTTTTGATGCATCGAAGGTTCTACTTACGGTGGAGTTGCAGAGGTGTTTGTAATAGGAATTAAGGCAGATGTAAAAATAATAACAAAATATGAAAAAATAACTCAAGAACCTAACTAAATAAAGGCTAAAAATGAATATTAAGGAGAGAAACACAAATAACCTTTTAATTTGTAAATCCATTTTTTTTTCTTCAAAATATTCATTACATTCATCTAAGGACATGCACACACACAACACAACACACACACACACACACACACACACACACACACACACACACACACACACACACACACACACACACACACACACACACATATATACATATATATATATATATATATATATATATATATATATATATATATATATATATATATATATATATATATATGTTATATATATACTATATATATATATATATATATATATACTATATATTATAATATATATGATATATAGTGTGTGTGTGTGTGTGTGTGTGTGTGTGTGTGTGTGTGTGTGTGTGTGTGTGTGTGTGTGTGTGTGTGTTGTGTGTGTGTGTGTGTGTGTGTGTGAGTGTGTGTGTGTGTGTGTGTGTGTGTGCTGTGTGTGAGTTGTGTTATGTTGTGTGCGTTTATGTTTTATTTAGTCACTCATCTTTCTCTTTTCCTTCATTTATTTATTTAATCTATTATTTATCTCCTTTTTTTCCTTTTTCTTCAAACAACAGACTTCTCCTCCCGCCTATCTCCCCTTTGTCTCTCCATCTGACGAGACTCCTCCGTCCGTGATCAAGATCTGACTCAATCAAATCGCCCGGCCAAAATACCCTCACCATGCATACATTAACTTTATTCTCCCCTCAGATGCAGAGGTCAGAGGCAAGCCGGGGCGAGAGGGGAAAGCAAGGGGAGAGCGAGATGAGAGCGAGATGAAGTAAGAGGCGAGGGGAGATGAAGCAAGATGAGAGCGAGATGAAGCAAGGTGAAGCGAGAGGCGAGGGGAGATGAGAGCGAGATGAGAGCAAAATGAAGCGAGAGGCGAGAGGGGAAAGCAAGATGAAGCGAGATGAAGCGAGATGAGAGCAAGATGAAGCGAGAGGCGAGGGGAGATGAAGCAAGGTGAAGCAAGATAAGGCAAGGTGAAGCGAGATGAAGCAAGATGAAAGCCGAGATGAAAGCAAGATTCCGATGATGATAGCAAGGTGAAGCGAGATGAGAGCATGAAGCGAGATTGAAGAGACAAGATGAAGCGAGATGGAGGAGGAGATGAAGCAAGATGAAGCGAGATGAGAGCAAGATGAGAGCAAGGTGAAGCAAGATGAAGCAAGATGAGAGCAAGTATGAAGCAAGATGAGAGCAAAGAAAGCGAGGATGAGAGCAAGATGAAGAGCAAGATGAAAGGCAAGAAATGAGAGCGAGAGAAAGCAGATGACGATAGCAAGATGAAGCAAACCATGAGAGCAGATGAAGCAAGATGAGAGCAGAGCATGAGCAGCAAGATGAAAGCAGAGCAATGAAGAAAGATGAAGCAAGATGAGAGCAAAAGATGTGGCAGAGATGAGAGCAAGGTTGAAGCGAGATGAGAGCAAAGATAAGCAAGAAGGCAAGATGAAGCAAGATGAGAGCAAGATGAAGCAAGATGAGAGCAAGATGAGCGAGATGGAGCAAAGGTTGAAGCGATGGATGAGAGCAAGATGAAAGGAGAGATGAGAGCAAATGGAAGTGCAAGATGGAGAGCAAGATGAAGCTATTGAGATGGAGAGCAAGATGAAGCAGAGATGAGGCAAGGTGTGAAGCGAGATGAGAGCAAGATGAAGCAAGATTGAGAGCAAGATTTGAAGCGAGAATGAGAGCAAGATGAAGCAGATGAGATGAGAGCAAGAGAAGCAAGATGAGAGCAAGATGAAGACGAGATGAAGAGCAAGGTGTTGAAGCGAGAGATGAGACGCGACGATGAAGCGAGAGGCGAGGGGAGATGAAGCAAGATGAAGCGAGATGAGAGCAAATGAAGCAAGATGAGAGCAAGATGAAGCAAGGTGCAAGAGCGAATGAAGATGAAGCAAGATGAAGCGCGAGATGAGAGCAATCGAAGCAAGATGAAGCGAGAGGAAGCAGAGAAGCGAGAGGAAGCAGATGGCGAGATGACAGCAAGAGAACAGATGAGAGCGAGAGAAAGCAAGACGAGAGCAGGAATCAGAGAAGACTGAAGAGCAAGATTGAAGCGAGAGGCGAAGCGAGCACAGAGCAGACGAAGCAAGGAGATGAAGCATGACAAATCAAGAAGAAATGAAGCAACAAATCAAGACGAAGCAAGATGAAAGGAAAGAAGCAAGAACGAATGAAGGCAGAGCAAGACGAAAGCAAAACGAATTCGAGAGACAAAAGCAAGACGAAAGCAAGAAAGATCAAGACGAAATTAAGATTGAGTGAAGGACGAAAGCAAAACGAATCAAGACAAATCAAGACAAAAGCAAGACGAAGCTAGACGAAGCGAGAGACGAAAGCAAGACGAGTCAAGACAAAAGCAAAACGAATCAAGACGAATCAAGACAAAAGCAAAACTAATCAAGACGAATCAAAACAAAAGCAAAACGAATCAAGACGAAAGCAAGACGAAGCGAGAGACGAGAGCGAGAAACGAAAACAAAACGAAAACAAGACGAATCAAGACGAAAACAAAAAACGAAAGCAAAACGAATCAAGACAAAAGCAAAAAAACAAAAGCAAACCGAATCAAGACGAATCAAGACGAAGCGAGAGCCGAGAGCGCGACGAGGCTGCGTGAGCCGGGAGGGCGTAATGGTCCAATCGTCGGAGAGCCAGAGCGAGATAATGAAGCCATGGCATCAGAAAGTTCCTGTCTTGAGATTAAGAAAATAAATCAGGCTTATGGTGTGTTGTTTTCCTCCTCGTTTTCCTTTTCTTCCCCTCCTCCCCCTCTCCCCTTCCCTTCTCCCCTTCTCCTTCCCCTCTCCCATTCTCCTCCCCCCTCCTCTCCCTTCACCTCCCCCTCCTCTCCCTTCACCTCCCCCTCCCTTCTCCTTCCTCCCTCCCACCACTCGCCCCAACCCGTCTAGGTCCGAGAAGGGAGAAAAGGGGAGGGGAGGGAAGTTAGAAGGGGAGAAGGATGGGAAGGAGAGAGGGGGAGAGGTGGGAAGCTGGGTAGGGGGGAGGGAAGCTAGGAGAGGAGGGGAGGGATGTTAGGAGGGGGGGAGGAAGCAAGGAGGGGAAGGGGAGAGAAGCAAGGAAGGGGGAGGGTAGGGAAGCAAGGAGAGGGGGAGGTTCGGGAAGCTAGGAGGAGGGAGAGGAAAGGGGAGTGAAGCTAGGAGAGGGGAGGGGAAGGAAAGCAAGGAAGCGGGGGGCAAGGAGGGAGGGAAGCAAGGAGAGGAAGAAGAGGAGAGGGAAGAAGGAGAGGGGAGAGGAAAGGAAGGAAGCCAGGAGAGGGAGAGAGGAAAGGAGAAGGAAGCAAGGAGAGGGGAGAGATGAGGGAGGGGAAGAAGGAGGGGAAAGGGGAAGGAAGCAAGGAGTAGGGGATGGGGAGAAACATTGAGTGAGAAGGGCGGCTGCTGTCTCGATATCTGCATAAAACAAACGATTAACAATACGGCGGCAGTTAGGGGGGGGGGGACCTCTCTACATAAACATAGAGAGCCATCCAGATTGTGTGGAGAAAAGGGGGGCATCTTCGGAACACACAGCGTCTTTCGGGATCCGTTCGCTTTTCTATGCTTATTACTTTCCTACCGATATTAATGGAGGGATTGGGGGAGGGGAGAGAGGGGAGGGAGGGAGGGAGAGAGGGGGAGGGAGGGAGGGAGGAAGGGAGGGAGGGAGTTGGATCGTCTCCGTTTTTCTTGTGCGTTTTTTTATATTTTTTATTTTTTTTTTACTTTTCGTTTTTATTTTTGTCTCTATCTTTCTCTCTCGGTCGTTCTTTCTCTCTTTGTTTTGGTGTATTTCGTTCGATTTTTGTCCTCTCTTTCTCTTCTCTCTCTATCTCTCTCTCTCTCTCTCTCTCTCTCTCTCTCTCTTTCTCTCTTCTCTCTCTCTCTCTCTCTCTATCTATCTATCTATCTCCCGCCCCCTTGCTTTTTTTTCTCTTTCGTTTTTCCCTCGTTCGTTCAAGGACTCGACTGAATATCACTTGCACGAGCTTACACTGCATTATTAGTGAAGACTAAAAAAAATACGAAATCCTTTACAAACTGCTCGCGCCTCCAACTGTCTTTGTTAACCATCTCATTAATGCCTAGCTCCCTAATTACTTAGCAGCCTCTTAACAGCTTAAACAATTTCGTTAACTATCCAACTGCCTCATTAATTAACAGACGACTTATTAAGCACATTTACCAATTAACTATCAATTAACCTAATTATTTCGTCAGCTACATAACTGCTTATCACACAAAGCGATACTTCACTAACTACTGAACTACTTACCCAATAAATTAACCACCTGATTAATTAACCACTTATTTACCAAACTAAAGACCTCGTTAACTGTCAAAAAGCATTTTGTCACAACTAACTCCTTATATAACAAACTAATTGCTTAATTAACTACCTAACCACTAATTAAAGGAATATACTACTTCGTTAATTAAGTAACTACTTATTTAACAAACTTCGCTAACCACCTAACTGCTTTTTACTACATTAACTACCTTGCGAATCACCCAACAACCTACTGGACAAACAGATCTCCCTGTCGATTACCTAACGACTAATTGTTAATTACCCAACTAATAGAAAGAGACCTCATACTCCGTTAACTACAAAACTACTTATTCAGCAAGTCAACTCCTTTCGCAAACGACCTAACTATTTCGTTATCTGCCTGACTACCTCGCCTTGAGCAAGCCATTCAGCCTCCGATTCATTATCGTAAAAACGTCGCACAAACTCTTTCAAAAAACAGCGAGAAAACGATAAAAAAACAAAAAACAAAAACAAAACAAAAAACAAGAGAGAGCATAGCCCTTAATACTCCGTCTTTCAAGCACGGGGTTTTTGTCTCTATTTTGTTCCTTAATTTTTTTTTCTTTTCTACTTTTTTAATGACCGGCAGGGAGGGAGGGAGGGAGGGAGGGGGGAGGGAGGGAGGGAGGAGAGGAGAGAGAGAGAGGAGAGAGAGAGAGAGAGAGAGAGAGAGAGAGAGGAGAGGAGAGAGAGAGAGAGAGAGGAGAGAGAGAGAGAGAGAGGAGAGAGAGAGAGAAGGAAAAAAAGACAGAGAGAGACAGACAGACAGACAGAGAGAGAAAGACAGATAGAGAGAGAAAGCTGCGAGATCTAAAGAAAATAGAGAAAGAGGCGGAGACCGAGAGAAAGACGGAGACAGAGAGAGGGAGAGGAAGAAGAATTCGCGGCGCACAAAAGACATTAGAGCATTACTTCTGTAACTTTAATACCTTTCTTATCCCCGTGGAAGCCCCCGCCTGTTTGCTCGCCCGGGTGGCAGGTTTAAGCACAGGGGCGCCAGGGATCTTTCTCCCCTCCCTCTTTCCCCTCCCTCACCTGTCTTCCCCCTTCCCACTCCCTCACTCCTCCCCCTCCCTCCCTCTTTCCCCTCCTCACACTCCTGTCTCCCCCTTCCACTCCCTCACTCCCTCTCCTTTCCCCTTCTCGTTCCTCCTCCTCTTCCCTTCCCCTCTTCCCTCCTCTCCCTCCTTTCCCCTTCTCTCACTCCTCCCCCCTTTCCCACTCCTCCTCCTCCCCCTTCCACTCTCCTCCTCCCCCTTCCCTCTCTATCCCCTCACTCCTTCCCCCTTCCTCCTCCTCTCCCCCCTCTCCTTACCCCTTCCTACTCCCTCCCCCTCCCTTCCCCCTAGCTTTTCTCTAAGTCACCACGAAGGTAAGTGTGAGTGTCGGGGGGGGGGGGGGGCAATGAGGGTCACCCCCCCCTCTTCTTACTCATACAGACATTCTTTTTTTTTCTCTCTTTCTTTCCCTTTCATACTGATTAAAAATTCCCGCCGGGTCAGCATCATAAATCCAAAGAGGAGGTGGAGGACTTTTTTTTTTTTCTTTCTAACCTCAATATACATACACATAATTTATTTTCCTTCTTTCTTTCCCCCCTCCCTCAACCCAACCCACACCCCACACCCCTATTCCCCTACCCCTATTCCCCTCCCCACACCCCTATTCCCTCCCCACACCCTATTCCCCTCCCTCCCCTTTACCTTTCTCTCTCTCGCCTCTACAATTCCTATTCATTTATTCTCTTAGCACAAGGTCGCAATCCCGCCTGAGAATTTGTTTTGGCACCGGGATTTCCAGCGACTTGTTGATTGGGGGAACATTGTTATTATTACCACAACGTTGGGTTCTTCGCTGGCTTATTAATCTCACAGTGGGCATCGGCGACCTGGCTTGTACGTGGGTTTAATACCAGTAATAGGCGTGGGCGGGGTGGGTGGGTGGGGGGTGTACGTGGGCGAATACCAGTAATAGTAATAGTAATAGGCGTGGGTGGGTGGGTGGGGGGGGGGAGCGATTTGGATTTTGATAAGCCGAGTCATGTTTGGTTCTGATACGTAAATATTTGTGTGGGTGTGTGTGTGTGTTTAAGGATGTATGGATATATGTACACACACACACACGCACATACATATATATATATATATATATATATATATATCATATATATAAATGGTCAATCTTTTATTTCTATCTCTCTCTCTCTTCTCTCTCTCTCTCTCTCTCTCTCTCTCTCTCTCTCTCTCTCTCTCTCTCTCTCTCTCTCTCTCTCTCTCTCTCTCTCTCTCTCTTCTCTCTCTCTCTCTCTCTCTCTCTCTCTCTCTCTCTCTCTCTCTCTCTCTCGCTCTCTCTCTCTCTCTCTCTCTCTCGCACACACATACACATTCGTGCACATGTATATTTGTATGTATATGTGTTTTTCCGACCACGTGTGCACTGCGTCTCTAAATCCACCATCTTACCCAATAAATCATTATATAAAAACACGATAAAACACGAATCAATACAAATCTACAGCGAGCGACGCCCAACACGCGCAGGTCGAAGCCAAGAAACGACACACAATTAACATCTGCAATAACATGCTTTTGCTTGTAATGATTCAATACACGTCCGGGAGTCTGCAATACAGTGTAATAGGGATTAATCAGTTATCGAAAGATTTCTTCTCTTTTTCTTTTTTTTTTTTTTTTTTTTTTTTTTTTAACTTCTTTCTCACAGTTGTTGT